TTTTCTCAGTGTCTGCTCTCCCAAGGCATCTGGGAGAGACCCCATACTCATCTTTTGTTTTTTTTTTCATTTCTGTAGATTTTTTCTCCCTTTACCCCTTTGTCTCCCCCTCTTCAATTCTGTTTTTGAGGGAAGGTGGGGTTGCTTTTATTTCTCTTCTGCAATGACCTGTTCTTCCTTATGAGGGTCTTCTGGTTTTGTTCACTTTTCCCTCTGCTTTACAGTCTGTCTATTCAGCAGTTTGCAGTCTTGGTCCGTTCAGTGAATCTCACAGTCTGTAGACTGTCTTCCTGCTCTCTTGATGGTTTCTTTGGCTTTGCCGTTGCCATCTTGCCCCGTCTCCCTCCAAGAAATGTTGTTAACTGCTCTGCTGTGGTTAGAATGTTTGTGTCCCCACCCCAAAATTCATTAGTTGAAATTCTATCTTCAAAGGTGGTGGTATTACAGGCAGAGCCTGAAAGTTTCCCTGGGTAAATGCAACTTAATTACTTAGGCTGATGGGTGCTGCACCTGAATGTCACTGGCATCAAGATTCAAGGCAAGGGAGGTAGCATGTGAAGAACACAAATTTTGGAAAGAGAGACTCCACTCACCATCACACTAGGAAGGAAGTAACATTGAGAACAGCCATGACTTGTCAAGGGATTAAGTTACTTACATGATAATTTGGACAAAATCATGAAATTATCAAAAGTAAATATTCTTTTTTTTTTCATTAATCAGTATATTTTATTATAGTTTTGTGGGGTACAGTTAAGGGTTAGGTGTACAATTACGTTTCATTCAGGCACCCTGTTGATAAGAGGCGTTTTCCCATCCCCTGACAGATATTTGCTACTATTAATCCCATCCCCCTCCCCCCCATAGTTTCCCAGTATTGTCAGTCATTTTCTTATAGTATTGCATTGGATGTTCAAGGTCTATTATATGAGTGCGAACATGTGATATTCAGATCTTTGTTTCTGTGAGAGGTCACTCAGTATTATAGACTCTAGTTCCATCCAGGTTGCAGCGAAATTCATGATTTTGTTCTTTTTTGTGGCTGCATAGTATTCCATCGTGTATATGTATACCACATTTTTTAATCCAGTCCTCTTTTGATGGGCAG